GATTCGAAATATATGTGTATCAAACACCTTTTCGACTCTTTACGTTGCTGAGTTTAAAGGAATCTTCCACGGACCATGGACCAGTGGGCGGGACCGGAAGTTTTTGTGACGAAATGCATGGTAGGTACGGATCCACGTGTCGAACGCACGAACGTGAACAGGATTCACTTCAAACCTTCCCATGAACGTGGATCCGTACCTACCATGCATTTCGTCGCAAAACCACTTCCGGTCCCGCCCACTGGTCCATGGAAGATTCCTTTAAGATTCCTTTAACCACTTTGCCCAAACTCAACCCATGAGCAGTTAGCATCTGTCCCGTTGGAGACTCCCTGGACGTTGAATCAAAAGAACTTGACGCCGCCAACCAAAGGCACATTTGCGGGAGTAAACGAGATAATAATTATAGCCTGTCAATATGAAGCAGTGAATGGTATTTGATAAAAGAAAATAAAAAAGGAGAATAACCTATCGAAAATACCTTGAACAAGACCACTGATTTCTTGGACTGTGGTGGAGTCTGAGAAACAAATAGTCTAGGAGAAACTGGGAGTAGAGAATAGATAATGAAAGCCGTAGACAACAAAGCAGAGTGGGTGACGAGACCGTCATACTGTCACATAGAGGACGCCACGAGCGTTCATTGCAGCGGCCACTGCTGGTCAAGCCAGAGCCAACGCACGAGGTTCATTGCCAAAAATTTTACGACTTCGCTCCTTTAAGGTGCTCTCGATACGACCCCCACCACCAGCATCAGCCTTGATGAGGACCCCAATATGAACCCCCTCTCCCCACCAACCACCATCCTCACCATCATGGCTGTTCCCATAGTTTCTGATTCTGAGACTAGCCGACACAGCCCACCCCCGCCGCTTACGTTTTCAATTTTTCCCCAAAATTTGGTAAATCTTACCCAAACCGACCCCTTTCCCACCCCTCGCCGCCCTGCAGGTCTGTCCAATCCAGAATTATGGAACCTCCTATGCAACCTTTTGCCCTTCACCAATTGCTAATACGATCCCCTCAGAAAATCTCCAAAGACTCCCTCGGTGAGAAGTGCGCAACGTACGGTTCGACCATGGTTGCGAGTTTTATGCGCCTAGCGCCATTTCTGCAGTCCTTTTTTGTTGCGAATGTGGCCTTGTGTCTGCGGGTGCAGATCCAGCGATTTTTTCCGCAGAGGGAATTCGGCTGCCGAACAAGAAATATCGATGTGAGACTCTCTAAATTGTCCCGTTTTTGGCAAACACGGTTCGCAGCTAATTTCTAGGAAAAAGCGAGATTTTGGGTTTTTGATTACAATTTAACTGCGGTAAGCACAAGTGGACGTGACCGCAAGCCAATTCTTTGGCGTGCTTCGTGATGTGAGGCGACGCGCCGTTGAGGCCGCAACAGGCAGGCAAAAAAAGGTTAGCGGGCGTTTGACAGTTTTCTCTTCCTCGCTGAAGAATGCTGCTCCGGTTTTTCATGTCCTTAACTTCCCCAAGTTGCACAAGGTAGTAAGTTGGGAAACGGTAGCAGTTCAAGGTAAAAAGAATCGTAACCAAAGCGTTTAGCATCCATTTCCATCCAAAACTGTGACCTTCGACTGGAAAGAAGCCCAACCAGGTGGAATGCGGAAAAGATTACAAGGATGCACCTATGGGTGCATCTCACCCGGAAAAGCTGATGAGTGCTGTAGCTGATTTGGAGATGATGACGACTTCAGTTGACAGAAGCCTGGTATTCGGCTGATTTTGCCTAGGCTCGATTCACCAGATGAAAAATAATCACCTATTTAATGCTCTTAAATTATTATGTTCTACATCCAACTTTGGCCTTTTTGACCTCCTCATTTCTTGAAATAACGAATGAATACATAAAGGATAAAAAAAGGATAAAGCATTTGCCGTTGATCAATCCCTTTTTGGGATGCGGCACGCATTCTACTTCCATTTGTACATTCGTAGTGGCGTTTGAATGCGATGTGGCCTATACAATGACTTGCGGGGGCCAGCCGATGTACAAGTCAGTGTTTTTTATCCTCCCAGACAAGTCTGGTACCAATTAACCGACCCCGGAGGGATGGAAGGCTTGGTTGGCCCGGGCGACTCACGACCCAGGATTTGATCCCCGGACCGCTCGCGTGGTGAGCGCGCCACTTGTCACTACACCACTTCCGCCCTTGGCCTTACATACGAGTTTTTAACCTCCTCATTTCTTGAAATAACGAATGGAATACATAGAGTGGAATTCAGACCCACATCAGTTTGTAAAATAAACAAAGAAATGTAAAATAAATAAATAGAATAACAAAAAAACTGAGGGAACGAAAGGGATAACCATTGCGGAACTATGGACACTTCCTCCAATGGAAATCTCACTATGTTGGAAATCGGGGAGCTCTTTTTATCTGCTGTGAAAGATGGGGATGGAAATTTTTGATTATACTACACGTGTTTTAATCAATACGAGCCATGTTCAATAAACTAATAATTGAAAGTGAACTTAACAAGGTAAATTTCCTAAACAAACAATAAAAATCAAACGTAAAAAACCATATAGTACATATGTCAACATTTTTTCGCACTTATCCAGGATACGGGGCATGATGCAGTGCCGCCAGGCTGCTGCAAAACCGCACTAAAGCATCTCCTTTTTGAGAGAAACGGGTAAGCCATTGAATAGGGTTAGGCAGAGACTTCAGGGCTGTATGGGCAATTTCCAATTCTTCTGTGCGCGCTCCTAGCCTTACTAGTTAGTCTGCCTAGAAAATTGTGCCCGCATCTTTAGCGATAGCGCCCATTTCTGTTTTCTGTCCTCTACACAGGAAATGTACAAGGAAAAGTTAGTGTATGTTGTTCATCCTGTGTTAAGGGAACAGAGAGTGAAGTAATTTTTGGAATCCCCACGTCACAAAGTTGAATAATAATTATGCTGCTTGAAAAAAAAACTTGAAAAAAAATCGATAACTATAGAGCAACCAAAATGGGTTATATTGAATAGATACTTTCCGCTGGCATGTTCTGCAGCGATGTTTGTGATGGCTGTTCCCCAGAATGCCGGCTCCAGATGGTCGAACCAAACCGCTGTATGATGGATGACCTCATGATGCGAACTTATTTGACAACAAATAATGGCTGTATGAAGAATTATCTATAAAAACTGGGCATTTTCCAATCGTCGGCTTTTTCGGTGCTCCTCTGGGATTTCCATATCGATAGCACTCGTTTCTCTTGGGAGGAGTAGAAACGGAGAGAAATGCGAAACCCCAGTCTAGACTGAGTGAATGAACAGAAAAACCGCAGTCTAGATTGAGTGAATGAACGGAAAAATGAACAGTGGCCACGAAACGCCCTCTTCTAGGCAGGTTTTATGGAGTCTCGCGCCCTTGAACAGTAGGCGGATGGGCGGCCCATGTGATGTGCTGTTTTCCCACAGTCGACGTGTTGCCGAATTTCCCTGTCTACACCGAGACATGGCCAGGAACTGCTGGAATTCTCTGAAAATCTGCTTGGCTAGGTCAGTTAAGGTAAGGTGGAAAGCTTAGTAATAGCTTACCAATCATCACTTGCAACCCTGCCAGGGCCAACCATGGCAATGGATATTGCTCGATAGTGAGCTTATTGGATAGCTTACTAGGAGAAATAGCAACCCTATCAGGGTCAGCCTTCGAGTTGGGAAAATTTTTGGATATGAACGACCCTAGAACGGGGTGTCGTACAACCCCACCTTCGGAGCCTTTCCTTAGTGAGGCTAGCGGTCCTACCTGACCCATTTTGACCTCCAAGATCTCTGAAAGCTCCACGTTGTTGAAAAAACATACCCATTCCACCAAATGTGGCCCCTGCGCGCTTCAAAAAACACTTTCTAGTATAGTATACCTAAATACGACCCCCTCGTTGAATTTTGCACAATGCACTTTTGACCCTAAATCCTAGAAGTAACCCGAACTCAGAGAAACCCGCACTTGCCATTTCGAAGGAGAAAATAGTATGGAAAAAATCAATCCTTTCAAAAAACCCAGTTTCCTTCCGAGCAACGGCAGCACTTCCCATTAGCAGAAACGTCATCGAGTTGCATCGTGGTGGGTGTGGCCATCGACCGATGGATAAGCCTGCAGAAATTGGTGCTGAACGAAGTGTTTAGGCTTTGCAGGGGATGTTTGGTCCGTGGGTTACAAAACCCCGAAGTTCATCCGAGGAAGGGCTAAACGAACCGTGTTTTCTATTCGGGTTATTTTTTCCAAATATGAAATTCATTTTTAATATTGAGGTAGGCCTGCGAAAAAATATTAAATTCATACGTCACGGCTCGCCTTCTTTATGGCTACGAGTTAGAAAAGCCTTTCTTCACCCGCGCTTAATAGATGGTGGGCAATTTGTCGCGATGAAAATCGCGGTAGGGGATGAACTGGCTGGTTTTGACAGCATGTAGGTATTGGTTACTCATCGGGGAATGGAAATTCTTGCACTTTATTTTTCGCTCTGAAATCGTTCAACGCGACTCTTTATCCTGGCTGAAAGTCATTGTCGTATTTGGTGAATCGTCGAGCCGCTGTGATAACCAGTTTTTGATGTTCTGCAAAATCGATTTTGGGTTGTGCGGCCCCCAATGCTGGCCCCACATTTTATTTGGTGGTCGGACAAACCACGCTCTGCCAAGCGAACGGACTCCTGGCTCGGCCACCTCCGGCAGCGCTGATTGACAGGCAATGCATAAGCTCTTGCTCTTCACTACCATAAAAGTTCCATGAAAATTTTAGTCAGCTTTTATTCGCTGGGATGATTTGAATACTTTGCTTGCTTTGTAACGATGGATGTCCTTTCAAAGAATTCCTTGTCATTTTTTTCATTCTTGTTTTTCTTCTTTTCCATTTCTCATCTTCTTGGGACGCTATTTCCCAGGTGCTGATCTATCCAATGAAGTTATTCCCTGCATTACATAGAAGAGTTTCTTCATTCATACAATCTTCATTCTGACTGGCAAGGGTATGCCTCGAAAATTTATGAGCATTTTAGCTTTCTGAGGAATTGAGAAAAGTCAACTGTCGGCATCTTCTACTCTGCTGCGAAAGAAATGAGGCAGTTCGGTTCCCTTCCATAGAATTGAGCAGTGAACCAGAGTTAGAAAGCTCGGGAACCTGAGAAATATAACAGTCTAGAAGGTTCATGGTTAGTTTTTTAGCTTCATCTTTCGCAGTGAGAATGCACAACACCCCACCCCCTCATCCTCACAAGGACGTGTTTAGTTATGTTCAGACTTTTCCGTCGCGTACGTGAACCCTGGGCCCTGGATCCATGGTACTTTTTGCAAGCGATAGAGGGTCCATCACCAATTGAAGGGTACCCTGTTTGTGATTTTACCCTGTCTTTTTGCCCTGCTCAATATTATTTACTGGTCATCCCCACGAGTGCTTATGTTCAGGGTGTACTGTTTGTTTTGTTGTTGTTCTAGTTATCCTGACACGGTTCGGTTTGTTTTTCTGGTTGTTGCCGATGGTGCGGCTCGAGTGCATATTAAATAAATAAATAAATAAATAAATAAATAAATAAATAAAAACACATATTTTTTCAAGTTTATCTCCTGAGCATACACGACAAGGGTATGACCCAACTGCTTTCACGGATGTGGGCAGTGGTCGGAAACGTTATTTTGTACACGGTCACAGGGCCTTTTCATCCAGGGTAGCCATAGTTCAAAATAATTTAGTGACACTAGATTCACGTGGTCTTCTATTTTTTTCTGCCTAGATGGATTGCAAGGTGAACTTATTTCAATTTCTCGCGTCTTAAAGTACTGGAGTCTCTTCGCGGACAGAAATGGACCAAATCCCAAAAGGCTAGAGAAAGGTTATTGATTTCGAATCACAGCATCCACCTCAACCATTCGTAAAACAATAAAATGCATGGCATTAATACCTTTTTATTGCGACCAGTCTTCAGTTATAGCTATGAGATTTGGTTTCACTGACTTTTTGGTCTCGTAGGGGACCGAAGTTTAGCGAAATACGACGATGTGTAATTATATACAATGGGTGAAACTCCAGTTCGGGGGGGCCACTCCATTGCTATCTTATCCGTAGTACTAGAGAGCAGTTCTTTGGGCTATCGAACACTACGGATAAGATAATAAGTGAACGACTCATTTCGAGCGTACTTTTGATAAGGACCGGTGGATGTCCTACATTCCACACTACCTGCCCACATCCCATCCACTTTTCTGCACAGGTGATCCACCCTGGAGCTCCTGCACCCTTAGCCCTTTGCGGAGGTGTCCTTTCTCCTGGTCCAGGACCGTTCCCTTGGGTCATGGCAGGCGGAAATGTGAAAACGTTTCAGGGTTTCTCACCCATTACACCAATATTTATCAGAAGTCTACTTTAAATGAGTCGATTACGTGTCGTGAGCCCTCTAATCCTTATCTTGAGTATTGGAGAAAAAATGGAGTGGCCCCCCCGAACTGGAGTTTCACCATAACCAATTTCATGGGAAATTGGAAGCTAATGGCCTTATAGCAAATCTTGATAATTCTGTAACATGGGCGCATTTGAGCGCGGACGAATAAATAAGAGGAACAACATCAATAATAATTTCACTCTTTAGTAGAGCTTGACACCTTCCCCGATTTCCCTGGCCTTAGCACCTTTCCATCGCGTCTCCTGAAGGCACAGGACTTGGATATTCCTGCGCGTCATCAGATCAGCAACCTCTCGGGACTTCCCAGTTAGCGATCCACGTTTAGAATCCAAATTCGCACTGTATTAGCAATTCAAGTGTACAGGAAATATGTCCATTCAAGGGACTCTTCATCCTCCTACGGGTTCAAGTCTAGTTCATTTCCATCAGAATTATAGCTCCAGAGAATGGTGATGCTGCAATTAGCGAAGCTGCATTTTGCATTTGCATCCCTCAGAAAAAGGTAGACCTGCAATGAAATGACTGATCCCCCTTCAATTGTCGGTCAAATTACTCTTCCCAAAAGGCAACGGAGCCTATTTCTATGTATTTCCTTCGGAGGCCGTGTAGCTGTCGCGGGCCGAGAAGTTTGGAGCTCTGGCTGGCGCATCGGCTGTTTAAATTTTGAGGGAGATAAGTATGAGTCCAAGTTCCTCTACAACCTCGACTGGAAGAAGATTGGATGAGCGCTATTTCAGAAAAAAACCAATCTTAGTTTCCACCATTATTTTGTCCACCACTGTTCATAGAAAGGCTTCTCTGATTGCCGAGTCCCAAAGAACGGGATGCGGCACAAATTTACACTTGTGATTTTTTTCATAACTATTTCATGCAAGCTCCCCGAACCCCGCAGAATACGATACTGGGCCCTGCAAGGCTGGAATACTCTGCCAAATATTGTATTCTGCCATCCGTCGACGGCTGGTCCCACCATTATGCGACACGACGACGTTTGTGCTAATGGAAGAATGCTACCATCCGTGGGAAAATTATTGGATTCCCACCGGGAATGGATATTTCTGCATTCTATTCTGGACCAAACAATAATAAAGGGGAAAGATATAATCAAATTTGCGGGCGTAGCAATTTTTTGACTCCTCACATATCTTTTATGCCCACAACTTGAGTGGCGCGCTTTTACAGTATGAACTGCCTCCAGAAGGGCGTGGCTCTTGTAGATCCAAACGCAACCTCGTCAGTGGTACCGTAAGACCTGACAAGCAAGCCGAAGTTACCGAGTCAGATTTTGTGAACGATTCTCGAAGTGGTACCATAAAAACGAGGACATTCAATAAAGTAGAGTAGTGCTGTCATGAAAGTGTAATAAAACTTGTAGTTCCACTATATTTCTTCTTTCCTAGCAAATCATCTATTTTATTATCCATTTTCCATTTTCTATGGAACCCGCTCTACAATAGGAAAGAAGATTTGTTTCCGCCTGTTGCCATTCCATTCCATCGAAACCGGCACCCATCAACAGTTTCATAGTATTTTTTCTATTACTCGTTTTTGTTTCCGAACTAACATTTTCAAAAGGCTAAGGTCTTTTAGTACGAATCTAAACCTACCAAGTGTTTGCGTCTTGGCAGGTAATAATTATCACCCAAGGCATTCTGTGACGGTAACCAAGAACAACGCGCACGCCATTTTCCCCAAGGTTAAGGGCTTACTAAAAATGTAATCAGTGGCCATTAGTTTGCGATTTGTTTTCAATTGTTAATTTTTTTTATTGTGATACGTGCTAACTTCGACTGTTTGTTGATTAGAATTTAATAACAATAAAGTCAGAAACGGTTTTGGATTATTTCCAATTCAGGTTTCGAATGGCTGCTGAATGGCGGAAGCTCCTGCAAATTGCTGTCTTCTTTCTACAACCAATCCCTCATAAGGTTATCCCGTTTTCTGGAAAAAAATCCTATAAGGGAATCGGAAGAATTGAACTGCCATTTATGTGGTTCTGTTCCAAAATCTGATCTTAATAATTAATAAGGATAAAAGGATAAAGCATTTGCCGTTGATCAATCCCTTTTTGGGATGCGGCACGCATTCTACTTCCATTTGTACATTCGTAGTGGCGTTTGAATGCGATGTGGCCTATACAATGACTTGCGGGGGCCAGCCGATGTTCAAGTCAGTGTTTTTATCCTCCCAGACAAGTCTGGTACCAATTAACCGACCCCGGAGGGATGGAAGGCTTGGTTGGCCCGGGCGACTCACGACCCAGGATTTGATCCCCGGACCGCTCGCGTGGTGAGCGCGCCACTTGTCACTACACCACTTCCGCCCGTAAATAAATAACTCAATACAACTAATCTAATTACCTAACTAACTAATTAATAATTACCGAAGCATTATATAAATCTATTTAAGATCAACGTATTTCTATCAATCGATCTCCATAGAAACGAAATGTCTTTTCAAAATCTGATCATATCTTATGGTTAGTTCTTGATAGTATTTCTATTTGAATCATTCTTTGTATACCTACCAAGCACGTCCACTGCAAGAATGAGAATAAATAAATAATCAATAAATAAATATAATAAATAAATAAATAAATAAATAAATATGTAAATAAATGATTCAATAACTAAAATAAATAAAATAAAACAAAATAGGGATGTTAGGGAGTTCAAACTATTATAGGGATAATATAACAACCATCGCTCCTTTGGATGGGCCAACGCATGCTCATTTATAGGACCGGCCTACAAGTGACACGCAGTTAATTTTTGATGCAACTTGGTTTGCTCAATAAATTGGAATCCAGCCAATGCACAGTTCCTTTTTGCCGTCGTCGGCCATTAGGCCAAGGTGGTGTAGTGGTAAGTGGGTCCAATCACCATGCGTATGGTCAGGTTGAAGTCTCCAGTATTCAACCCGGGCATTCCTAAATCTGGGCAGGATGATGGCAAATATACATGCTGAGCGTGTTTCGTTTTTTCTTGGGGCACAAGGAAGCGCATTTTGCAGAGGTACACAGTGAGGGTCGCTAATTTAACCCATTCGCGACCGCGCCGGTTTGCGCATTAGCAGGAGAGTCAGGAGATTTTTCTTCAATAAAATTTGAGTGGATGGAGATTCCCCGTGCCCAAGGCTGGCATAGATGAATGAGGGTATGAAGATTCTTTTCAGGAAAGAAAACTTTCCAAATTCCATTTGAAACACGGCAGCCACCGGTGGATACCATTGTACACAAATATGTTAGCCCCCTTTCGGACACATTTCGTTATCTGGCGCCTCATAGTATTTGTCCTTTAATTTATAAGTGATCATAAAATCTAGCCTAGTAATTTATCAGTTGTGGATACGTGATAATTTCTGTGGCAATGAAAAACCTTAAATGACGGAGTTTGTTTGCCTCAAATAAACAGTAAGAAAATCAAAATGAAATGGTCGCTCTTTCGTGTAATTGGCCTGCACATGGTGCATTATAATTGTAAATAGCTCGTAGATTTTCGTTGGACACGATTCGAGCGAAGTGAAAGGCAGGCAAATCCAGCCGCAATTCAAGTAGGATCTAAAAAGTGACCACGATCAATCTCATAACCGATTGGGGGGTCGATAGCAGTTGACGTCTTCAATGAATTTTTGGAAAATTCGGTGGAATGTGGAAAGAGAAACGACTTATAGACGATTTTGTGGTGAGTTTCGGTAGCATAATCTGGATGTGGATCCTTTGCTCTGATTTTTGTGCAGAGGGCCCGAAAAAGGTTGGGAATCAGAGTATTGATTAGAGGCTGTGGCAAAATTTGAAATTTCATCGGGTCACATGCTATCGATCGATATCGATTGAAAATATCGGTTTTTGTGCAGGCGTCGAGCTGTCCATTCACAAACTATTATGACTCCAAAACCCCTTCTTCATTGAGGTGGCTCTGATACACAGAGAAAAAGTGAATATCGCAAGACATTTGCTAGGACCTTCGAATGGATTATGATCGATGCGCTCCGGCACGGGAAGGACTTGACTAATGTGGCTCTTTATAACGGCTGGTCACGAAATAACCTCGAGAAAAACGGCTATTGATCATTGAGAGTAATTAGGGAGAGGAATACTTCTCTGAAGACTGATGGAGCCCACATGAGGCTTGTTGCGCCAGGAGTCCAGGCCATGTTTCAGCAATTTATTCCGATTTTTAACTGAGTAATTCAATCACTCTCTGTGAGGGTTCGATGGATCGGCGGTTTCGCTTGAACCCTTCAAAATATCAAAGGAATGGATGACAAACTGTTATTTTTTGCTCTTCGAGTATTTGCCCGTCTTTGACGTTTTGTTTACCTAACAAGTTTGAAGACTCAGAAAATGTTTCTCCTGGCTTTCCCACCACTTTTCATAGAAACGCCTTCTATGGGGACGGGAAGTATGTCACAGTGGGGATAGTCGATTGATGAAGTCTAGACTGACTTTTTGCCCTCGAGGGCCACGAGTTTCATTCCCACCGCGGCAAAAACTGTCCGTGCAGAGCTGCAGAAGTAATGCCGGCGTCAGGCCCACCCTGATAGGCTGGCTAATGATGAACTCTGTCACAACCTTAATAATTAACCTGCAACTCCTCTAGTTCGATCATCGGAGTTGTCTGTTGGGAAAAAGCAAAGCCCAACGTAGTTGCAAGTCCTTCATTGCATAGACCCAATCTCGTAGAACCACCACGTTTCATGGAAATCAAGGCTTAGCGCACCCCGAAAATGTTGGTTGGCCCAGTATGCTGAATGATGGGCTCACTGGTGTGGCCACCAGTTCGTGGCTACCCGTAGTCGCTCCCATACTGGTGGCACACCAAGGCTCCCATACCAGTGATTGGATGAAATCGGGTTGATTCAGCCTGGGCCGAAAGATTGGCCTTGCTTTAGCACTTTGTGAAAGCTTTCGATAAACGCGAACTATGGCGTTAAAGCAACGGTGAAAATGCAACACAAGTTGGAAATTATTGATTAGGCCATTTATTTCCTTTTTCATGTATTCCATATATTTTCCCATGTTTTCCAAAAATGTTCCATTCCTGTGCCATTGATATTGAAAACGGAGCGGCTCGTTCTTTCCGAACGGGACTGCATCTCGTAAAGAAAATGCGACTAATCCGATTCTCGAGCCCGTAATTGCAAGCCCCGCCATGGGATTATGTGTCCATAGGTCGGCTATTCGCATGTATCCTTAACTTGACTTTTGAAAGCCTGAAGCCGGACCTTAATTAGCTCGACTATTATCACCGGTTTCCCTCCATTACATGGCTTATTTACTTGTTTATCGGTTTATTTATTTATTTATTTATTTATTACTCAATTATTTATTGCTGTTGTATGTAAGAGGTAAGGTAGATAAGTCAGGCGACAAAAAGGTAAAAAAGTTCAGCAGGTCTTACGGGATGCAGTCCCTCTGAGGGCATATTAAAAAGGCGAAGAAGGAAGCGGTGCGCACAAGAGTTTAGCCAATGTTAAGGGTTCCTTGGTAAGACGTCGCATTTGGCCTTTATGGGGTAGGTAGTCGTATTCGGTAATCGGTAGCTATTTCCGGACGAACAAGGTAAAGATTTTGGGATTTTTGGGAGCAGGACGAATTTTGTGTGAACAATTGTGAAATTCCTACGACCTTTGACAGCAATTCTATGAACATTTCTACAAAAAGGAGAGTCTATGAATTAGTTATCCCGCATTTATCCCAGTATGTACCTCATTCCTCTCAGCCCGAGGCCTCCGCCCCCCCCCCCTCTCCACACGGTCCTCGCTCGATTGGCATTTTTTCATGGGATAAGGTGAAATGTGGTTTCAGATTGGTTGGAAGAAGGATGAGAGCTCCACGAAAACAAGGTGAATGGTTTCGTGGGGAGCCCAATACGACCTCAATCCCCCCCCCTTACAACCACCCCTCATAATATGCCTCCACGGAGGTGTTGAAGAAGGTTGTTGAAGGCGGTTCTACGTGACACGCTAACAACCTTCAACTCTAGAGCTTTGGTGCCGAAGGAAAGTGAGGGAAATACGACGGCTAAAATAATGAAGTCAAAGTGTTTTCTTATCCCATCTTGGCCACTTAATATGAGCTCACTGGTAATCCACCTGTGGCCCACTCCCTCCCCCCCACCCCCAAGAAAAAAAAGAACTGCTCTTCCTTGTCTTTCCAACCAGCATGGCAATCTCCTGCCCGAGGATCCTCGACATGGGTCACAGTGCTGATCGCCGACTCGGTGGACTCCAGCTTGACGGTGTTAAGTTAACCCTGAGGGTGTGGAGCGTTGTATCCGTGACAAATTCTCCTGCACGGAGCTCACGCTAGGTTTCACTCCTCTCAAACTGAACTATAGCTATAATAAAAATTCACGACATGTCCTGACGAAGTTCCTTTTCTAGCACTGACCAGGAAAAGGCATTTCACTTCCCATGGAACTTCGAGATGAGACCCAGATATATCGATAGAGAGCTTCAAACGCTGATTACAAATATGGAAGCTAAAACTGCAAAATGAACCTGCCAAGGAAGTTGTGAGCAGTCAAAGTTGCCGAAATAAGCGTTACATATCAACCGTGCTATGTTCCAGGCTTTCAATGTCGCCGCGGAGGTGCGATAGTGCTCCTGCTCTTGACCCAGGGAGGTCATAAGATCTGCTTCCTTGTTACAGTGCAAATTTTGAAGAGCACTCCCACTACTCCCCGGCGACTTTAAAAGCTCGGGGGCTAGCACGGTTAATACGTAGGGTTTAACTTGGAGCCAACTTTGACTGCTGACGACTTCCTAGGCAGGGTCAGTCCTATCGTTGGTACTTTCTGAAAAATTTTTACGACCCCCCTCCCCCAAGGTGGACTTGGTACGACCCCCTTTTCGACCCTCGACCACCATATTCCTCTCTATAGTATTTAATTCTGGTACCACTCAACCCACCAAACTCCGCCCACTTTTTCCTCCAAAAATGCCGTCGAGCGGGGGGGGGGGGTATATACCCACTATGAAACAGTAAAAATTTACCAAAATTCCCTAAATTCAAGGCGAATTTTTTCTCCCGTGCGCTCCCAACTCACCTAGCCTACTACTCGTGGAAAACTCGAGTTTCACCACAAACTGAAGCGGATACGACCCCCCCCTCCAAGCTAAACCAAGTACGACCCCCGTTGGTACTTGTACCAACGCAGGGTTGACTGCTTTCTAGTGCAGGTTCATTTTGCAGTTTCTCAGTTTGTAATACTAGTGGTTTACAGCTTTATCCATAATAATGTGGGTCTCAATTCAAAGTTCCATGGGAAGTTGAATGCCTTTCCTGGTGAGGAGAAAGAAACTTTCGAATCCGTCGATGAGTCGAGAGACCGATTCCCGAGCATTTCAATGCATAATCAAACAGCCATCACGAGCGATGATATCGCAGCGGGCGAGCAATAATGGAGCAAGAAATTCCCAGTTTGGAAATGCCACGAGAGCTTTTTACGAAATCAATGCTCCAACCACCGTATCGGCCAAGCTCGCCCGGAAGATCTATGCATACCCTTTTCGCTTCGTCACGGATCAGCTTTCTTGGGTCGAATCAAATTACGATAAGTGATCGCAGCGATTTCGATCTCGTATTATGCCAATCAATTCAGGAAATTGAAATTGGTTCCGCTGTTCTTCTGTTTTTAGGGCTTGGAATTGGACGAGCTCACAGCGCAAGCGCAATTTCATTCGTTTCGTTAAAAACTTCTGCAGCAAACTAATTAGACACGCGTCTCAAGTAAAAACACCATCGATTGCTCTAGAAGGTCTGGACAGGGCCATGGACGAAGCACAAAACGGGTCCTGTCGGATGAGGACCATCCGATTCCTGATGGAACAGGAGATTACCCAGAACACCACGATCCCCGAGTCTAGTAGAGAAGTAGCAGGAGAGTTTCTTTACGAAAGGTCCGGAAATACTAATTTTTCGAGATGCTGTCGAGCTGTTCTGTCTTCTGCATGGTCGACAAGTCAACCAAGCCTTCCATACTAAGGTCGCCGATTGACATTCAAATACTTTTCGCGCGGATTATATACAACCGTCTGAATTGTACGTTGGTAGAATTAGATCGAAGTATTAAAATTGTCCTTTCCGATTCCAATGGAGTAGAATGCGTGGTACATTCCCGAAAAAGGTATGGATCCACGCGAAGTGCTTTACCTTCAATCCAGGGTCAACCGTCCGTTGGACAAAGTCCAACGCGACGACGAGAGTAATGCCGAGAGTGAACGTACGCACGGAGACACAGACGGCTCGCGGGTGGCGAGAGTGAATGCCGGCGCGGAGAGCGGTGAACATCGGTCCAACGTCGCTCCAATATCGGTCCAACGTAACGGTTGACCCTGCTCTTCATGTTCTCCATTTACAGAACTGTTCTAATTGATACTATAACATCAGGTCTTCTTGAAGCTTACCTTTGGAACCACATTCAACGACTTAAAAGCATAACCCATTTAAAGTGAACGATGTCCCTTCGGGTGTATCAGGATCATTCCTCATACGCACCCAATCAAGCGGCAATGCGTGCGTAAGAATCCCCTAACAAGGGCCTAGGGTCCCCCCCCCCCCCTTGACTTGCAAAGTGAGATGCAGCAGCTGCAATGTTCGCCGATCGCAGCAGGGCTGTTGTCTGGCGCCCTCTCGTCTGTTGCGCTATCTCGCCTCATACTCTCCTCTCCCCGCTAAGTCTCTTGTTCCTTGACGCAACCGAACCATGGGACCCTAAAACCTAAGAGCTTCCAAAGGATTCTCATCCTTTTTTGTTTGGTGCCGGCCCACTTCGCACCAATACTTTAATATTCATGTGCAAAAACGGCAACAGTTTGATCCTGGAGGCATGCCTTTAAGTCCAACCCCCGACAAGTGAAACCAGAACTGTTTTGGGAATGAGGGCTCGGTCTTAGGGTCTTAAGTAGTCCAGACGGTTTTCTAATGATTGGCTTGCTTGCTCAATTTCGCAGAGGCTCGATCATAAATCCTTCATTATTCCTTGCAGATCCGGGTGTTTTTGCCCATCCGAGTTTTGCAGCCCTAGCTAGTCCTTGAGCTCACTCATGAATATATAAGCATTATTCATAGAGGCTTTCGTTAAGCAGCATATAAAACTGCACACTGTAAAGGGAGGGGAATAGCTTAGGTAAAAAGGGAACGTTGTATTTAAAAAATAAAGGACCAATATCAAATAATTAAGAAGGAGTGAATTTGAAACTAAATATGCCCAATAAAATTTCTAGACGCATATTTTACCTATTCTTTATTTCTTCCCTCAGTTCTTTATTTTTTTCAAAACTACCACATTTAATTTTCATCCTAACCTATTCCCTTCCCTTTATAACAGCTTTCCAAGTTATGCTTTATTACTTCCACTTTTCATTTTGAGAACACCGCTGAGCTATGGTTTCCACGAACGGATCCCTGTGCTTGGAATACAGTACCCAAAGCTTCCTTTTACCTTCTTTTGCTGGCGTGAAATGCCGCCATGTGTTTCCTCAACAACTGCTTGACGATTGTCCCCCCAATGGGGCTGTTGATGTATTTAGGGGACAGATCGGAGAGAATGCGCCTCCGATTTCTTTTGGTTTGATTTGCGTGAGGGCAAGCGCGTGCCATGCCGTTTCCTCTCGCGATGCCTTCATCGTCTAAATTGCATTTCAAGCGGTTCGTTGAACACTTTTTTCGACACTGAACACCCGTTTCCGGTCTAAATGACAACTTGCAACAGTTTTCTATTGGACGTCCATTTATTGCTTTGTTCTGTTCTATGAAGACAGCTGGCGCGCCCGCCTCTCCGAGTTGCTCACAGGAGCTCCCTGTTCGCTCTTTCTAGTCGCTTCGTGGTTTCTCACCACATTATCATTGCCCTAGTTATTCTGGTCCTGTTCCTAGTCCATTTCTCTGCGGCCTTTCCCTCCAGTCCTGTTTTTTCTTTTTTTCATTCCTTCTTTTGTTCCTCTTTTCTTTCTGCCCCTTACTCGGAACTTTACGACAACTAAATATGTAAGATTATCGGAACACTTTCAAAACTTTCGTTTTCTGAGGAAAATGGCTTTAGGAGTTTGGTCGCAGAGAGAGAGGAGGATGGGGCAGGGAGAACCATATGTCGAGGATTTTTGGCTGAACGAGCCTCTCTCCTGAAAGGGCTGGAGCGACCCTTCTACATAGTTGAAGCGCACACGTCTCAGCTCAGTCTCCAAGTATTACTGGTCTCTTCTTCCAATTCCTTATTAATTTCTACTTTCATTAACTCTCGTTTCTCGTCTTCCTTCTTCTCCACAATTCATGTAAGTCCCAGCCGCAGTAGGGGCCCTTTCCGTAAAAAGGCTAGAGAGGAACCCCGCGTTGAGAAAATCCGGCGCTCCCTCGGCCCGGCTAAGTGGTCTGGGCTTCTAAGAAGCACTGCTGCCACATATGAAAAATCAACAAAATTGCCATACAGGTGATTTTTTGCAGTCTAACTTGCGGCAATTCACGCGCTGAAAATAATTTTCATGTGGAACCTGCGTTTATCTGCGATTTTTCTCCCAGCTAGTGAAATGTTCAAAAACCATTCCTTGATGAGCTCGTCGTCCTCCTAGAGTTCGGTATTTCCCAATTTCTTTTGTCACCTCTTCATCTCAATTTGACTTCAGCTTTATTCAGGCTTGTCTCTGATTGCTTCTACCCAGCCATTGATTCTGATGGCAATCTTCGCTGACATTCGGGTGTTCTCCTCGTTTGGAGATCTTGTCACTAGCAATAATACTTAAAACTATATAGGAGAAGTGATTCAGTTTTTGCTGTCAAAACATGGGTAATGAATTGTGATTCTGGCTCGTTTCTTCGTGACCTTCTTATCGGAAGAAGCAGGAGAGGAGGGGCAATTTGAAGGGCAGAAAGTACAGAAAAATCGGGTTTGGTTTGCTTCGGCAGACCTATTTTCCACAGCTTTTTTCTTCTTCTTAAAACAAAAACAACTAACTGAACATGTTCTCTTCTCAATCTTCAGAAAAAGTAGCGATTAGCAGTCCCTTAGACCGCTCTTATCCACTAGGCGCTTTTATCCATAAGATTTTAGGGTAGACAATTTATTATCTCAATGGACTGTCACAAACTTGGTAGAGATATCCAAGTGGTTAAGGCCGTAGGCACATGGTCTCCTCTTCTAGAACCCGCGCGTTCAACCCCTGCTGAGGCTCAGTCATACCCTGCAGAAACTGCAAAAATGGTTTTAACACCAGCGTTAGGCCCCGCTCTCAATTGGAGCACTATTTGTAAAAAAGATTCCAGGATTCAAATGAAATTTCAGACCTAATCACCTCGGCCTTTCTCTCCGATCCCACGTTAATTACTTCGTGCAAGTGTGGAACCGAATCCCTAAGCCGTAGAGAATGAGGGTTAGCTGAGTCTAAGCGGGTGGTGAGCTGCAAATTGCACAGGAAATGCATAGCAGTTGAGTTTGTTGTTTTGCTGTAGAGTGGTGTTCGAGTCGGCGAATGGCTCAACTTCTTTCAGAGATGATCCTCCTCTTCTAGGCGAACGAGTTCGGCCCTTCCCCCACACACATGCTCCTTCTCATTGTTTCTCCTCCTCTTCGTCCTCCCGTCTATTTCAAAGCGCTGATTGCGACCGAAACTCGCGTGTGAGTGCCTGTGTGTGTTGTTTCCCCCGGCCATTGCGTGCCCATAAACGGCATTCGCCAGCCCCCATCCACCGCCTCCGTCCTGCTACCCGGCGTCCCGACGGCAGCCAGCTGCTTGGCCGTTCCCCGCCGACTGATTCTTTGCTTGCTGATTCAGAACCCTTACAGGAGGAGCATACCATCCAATGGATATTCTATATTCTGTTTGTTTTAAGAATCGTGAACGTGTTGAAGAAGAAAGATGGACCCGAGGCCAACCACCCATCCGAAGCAGGTTTGAGTTACCATCTTCTAAACTTACTGATGAAATATTCTATCGAATACCCCGATTTCAGATATACCCCGTTGACAAACGAACGAATACCCGTGCAGCGAACAATCGAGGACTATCGGCGGTCCGATTATCGATACGACGACCAGGGACCAGTGTGAGTAAATTCAGCGTTGTTTTGTTGTCGTCTCTGCTCGCAGGACGGCAGCAAAAATCCATAGCTCCCAATCCAAAATCATCGAGCTCGCCGTCCTCTTTGATGCTTTCTCCACGGTTCCGGTACCGCTGTTAAACTCCTGCAAAAGATGTGCCGTTGATTGGCATCCGAAAAATGCTTTTTTGAATTCCGTTTCTATTTTATGGCCTTATTTCATTCTTACTTACTATCATACAGAGCATGCGGCTAAAACTGCCAAGGGCAGACTCAACTATTGCCTCGGGCCATTTTCGGGACAAGTGCGATCCCTAGGCAAGGTTGAAGAGTTCCTGTTCAACCCTTAAAGCATATACATCGATCCAAACGGGAGAAATCGCAAAATTCTTGATATTTTTGAAAATTCGTAAAAATTGATCCTCACCTCAAGCACCACAAATTTCTCTTCTAAAATACGACCACCCATCACGCGAATAAGGTCCCACCTTAGAATAATGACGATACAGTCCCTCACTGAACTTTGTTCCATGGACAGTTTGCCTGGGTCTGGGCTCAGTCTGTCACATTAAGGGCAATGTCTAAGTTAAAGTTTCTTAATAAACCAACCGGCGTCCCACGACCATTTTTAGTGATGGTCTCAGTAAGTAAAAAGGCACTGAACATGATAAAAGACTTACACCCGACTAGCTCGCATAATTATGGGGTCCTTTCAATCGAAGCGACATGTTCAGCCTTAAAAAAGCTGCATGGCGCAACCCATCCTGAATTCTATGACTAAATTCTGAATTTTCTGTGAGGAAAACCCTTTGTGGCCTGCGATATGTAGTTCCACGAAAAAAATAGACATTTAGGCCCTAATTTGGAGTCATTCACTTCTATCCGAAAAAAAAGCAGCCGAACTTATTCCGTATTATTGTCTTCTTTTTTTACTAAATTTTTTATTTCAATCCAAACATACGACATTTCAATGGGAAAAGTGATGGATGATGATTGTGATTCCCGCCCAGCCATTTCAGGAGCCTCGAGAAAATCCAATAGTGCAGTGAATAGATATGCGTAATAAACAGCTTTTCTCAAAGCCCTTCGTCCCCCAATTACTTTCGCGAGATTTTTTGCTGTCTCACGGCATCCCTCCGCGCATTTCAATTTTCTATTAACAATCGGCCCTTTCGCTTCTCTAACGGTTCAGCGATGTTCCAACCCCAGTCACAGCTAAAAACACGTGTGCCATCAAATGCACCGTTGCAAGCCTCGATAAGCTACGCCGTTATATGAGCGGATTTGGTTTTTTGAATCGGCCCCTATCAACATATGTCCCACACAACAGTACCTGAATTGAACTTACCTAGCTCAACCGAGCTTGGGACAAAAAGCTGCGATCCGTTCATCTAGAAACCGCAGCTCGTTGTGAGGAAAAATCTACTTCATCTCAAAACATTTTTTCAAAAAATTCTACTTTGAATTCGAATGGAAATATAGTAGCGTGTACGTCGGCAAAATTAATATCAATATGCATATTTGCTTCATCTTTAAACACATCATATTACATACAAACACTACTTATCGTTAATCCATTTCAAATATCTGCCGTGACTTTCGGCAATAACCATGGTCTTGAGATACCATATTTGAGTACAGATAAATATTAAGTCTCCACCCACACACCTCCTACCCTTCTCTCCTTTTTTATTTATAACAATTACTCACCCACAAACTATTGAACACCCACTGATATTCCTTGATGTTCTTTCTATCGTACTTAAGGAATCTTGCGCGAAAAACCATCGAAGGACCAGGAGGCAGAGCCAGGCGAAGCATGGAAAGAAGACGGCGTTTGGCTGCGTACGTAGCAGACGACGCAATGAGAGAATCGGGTTAAAGCGCGCGATTTCGGAGAGTGGAGACAAATCGATCGATGGAATAGGATGGAGTAGAAGTGTAAGATGAATGCAACGAAGCAGAAGGCCAGAAAGAGCTTCTAGTGAATGCACTCCAAGAACCAAGTTTGAGCATCCCCGTCGCCAGCATTCGTGAAAGACGTCCGTGGGCAATTCGAACGCGTAGCAGCCTTTTCGAGTTTTCGAATTTCTAATCAAAACGCAATACTTCAGTTCTTTTCACTATTATCGTGGATAATGAGTCTCAAGCCAGTGATTATATGGCTGAAAAAGAATCATGATTTTTCCGCGCAAGATTCCTTGAGTTTTAGTTAATAACCATACTTTGTTATTCCGTTGAACTGAAATAATAAATATTCATAAATCTAACTAAAAATATCTCATCAATCCATCTCAAACCTCAAAGCATGCGGCTGAAAAAATATCTCTTCCTAGCATGTGTTCTTGATGTGATTCACGACTTGCCCTAATTGCACTATAACCACCATTTCGCGGTGCAGTCACAAGCTCTCATGACATGATTGTAACCAGATACCGTTCTCTCTCTGTTGGAGAGTGTCTCTCTGATCCATTCAAATTGTCTCTTCAAAAGTCCTTTGTTTAGCCGCTCAAATTGAGCATCAAAAGCGTTCTAATCCCTTGAAATGTGCATTCACTCGCAACAGACGATCTGGGTCCTTTTACAGCAGGACATAGCCTTCTGAAGCCCTAAAAGAAATGGTTGTTTTTTCCTGTGAGATTCCTGAACGCATAAAACTGAAACTTTTGAAAATAGTGATCTTTGATTATCCCACCTTGACTGGTCAAGGTATGGCTAATGGTTCTTATTTCTACATCTGTAGGTGCCTTTACAGTATTTGCAGTTCTGTTTCCTCTCCAAATCCAAAACTTTCTATTCCAGAAAGCAGACTATCCCTTTTTGAGGACTGCCCTTGGAAGGTCTCCCATAGATTACTCAAGTATCCTCATAATTCTGTTGAAATTCGTGTGTGTGGGATGGTTATCGAAAATTTCTATTGAGGACATCCTCAAAATTTGGGTCGTGCGAACCTAGCGGCGCTGAAGAGTCTGAAGAGCGTGTGAAGGCAAATAAAAAGGGTGATGTCTATGAATGGATAACGATATGGACTTTGTTCTCAGAATGGGTCCCTAGGGATCACTGCTATCGTCGGGTCTTCGCTCAACCAGAGCGTTTTCGTGACTAGTGACTTTCGTTACAAGGGATTCCTTTTTGAAGGGTCATCCACAGCGATGGACGGGACAGTGCAAGGTAAGGGGTCACGAAGCCCAAGGTGAAGGGACGCCATGAGGATAAATATCACTGTTAGGGCCACGGCAGAAGATGCCTTGGAGGGACCACGGGGCAACGACTTACAAGAACTGCCGATCCTGCGACTGCATGGGACTTGAGGATAAGAGGTCCTGAACCTTCAAAAATGGAGGAAGAAGTCAAGGGTTTTTAGTGCGTTTCGAGAATGTGCTGTACAATCAACTTCGGCCTAAGATTACCCATATGATTCTCTATGGAGAGGGCCATTTTCGAATAGCAATCTCTGCGTTTCATAGACTTCCAATACCCTCTTACCCAAACAATCTTTGTTGGTGTAAGCGGGCAGACTCCTATATACCCAGAAGATGTTACCTTGTCGATTTTCTATTTCTTTAGATGATTTTAGAGCTCTCCCATAGACAACTCAAGTATCCCCATCCTCATCTCCTCAAGTATCCATTCGTCGAGATCCAAAGTAAATCTTGCTTATTCGAGTTCAGTTTACAGGGAGCGGATTTCTTCGCCACTCGCGTTATGGGGAGCCAAAACGCTGACAAAACCCTGCATAAAAATAAACCTTACTAGCAGTCAAAGGAACAACTGTCAGTGCATTCATTCGACATTACAATCTCTTATTCCTTGTTTTGCCGGTGTTCCCAGCGCGTCCAGGTGCATGAATAAATAAAGCATTTCAATGAATCTAAGGCGCCTGGTCAGCATTATGAAAAGATATCGGTGTTACTGTATTTGAAAAGTGGGGGGAGGGGGAAGAGCGAACAGCAAGGTGAACCAATGTCGTAGATGCCTCAATAAAATGGTCATACTGGGTTGGAGCATAATATCGTAGCGTTTTTTCCAAGCGTATAAATCCAGTCAGTACAAGTATCATCCGAAAAACTGCTCATACTATTTGAAAGTACTCTTCTCGCTCTACAAAACCGTGGTTGTCATTTTCTTCAACATTGTAGCTGTACTCAGGTATAGAGCTTAGAAGTTGGAAAATCCAGACGGCGAAAATCGGCGTTTCGACAGCTGCTATTTCTCGGTTTAAATAAAGAAGAAAAACGCCAAATTGGAAGTTCTTTCGAATCCATTGTTCTAATCGAACCTTGCTCTATCCGACCCCACCTTTTCGCTCAAATTAAAACCATATTCATTTCGTACAAATTGAGAATAATAAGGACTCCGAAAACGAGCTCAATATTTTTTTAAATTCTATATCCGGTGATCTCTGCGAAATGCAATCAAAGTTGTAAATAATGACGAAGTGAACATCACTGATTAGTTTTATGTTTTTATTTTTTGCTTCAAATGTTCTGCGAAGGCACCTATCTCTTTCACTCTTGTTCATCCACTACAAAGTCTATTCAATCTAATTCCATTTCATCACTGTCTCCCGTGTTCCCTAATTCTTCAATCAGTCCATCTGCAAATTAGCCACATACCCAGCGTCGTGGGGCTGTGCCTTCAAGACCCGTTTATCGAAGGGGGACTTTTGCTCTAAGGGTCGACATACGAAGAGAGCTTACCATCGACCTTCATTAACGAACTCTGACCAAGCGCCCCCGCTGGTAGAAGCCCATTCATATAAGAGCCGCCGCATCATCGGCCAGCACATCAGCCGCCGTTCGCTACATATCATCTCCTAATTGACCGACGGCCACTCCGCAACAGATGGACAACTAATACTGTTCCACCATAGTTTTGGAACGAACCCCCGAGCCTTTCTGAGGCCGACTTTCACATACGCCCACACCTGAGTGTACAGGCTTAACAATCTGTTTTGCTATTTCTCCCATTATTTCTCATTCATCTACTTTGCCAGCCGCCGATATGCCGCGATGCACTCCTGGCACGGCGCTCACGCAATTACGTATGCCCTTACCCCTGGGATCTCTATTTTCTCTTTATGTATTTATTGCCCGGCTCAATGACGCTGCCATCCTAACAGAGGTACATGCGGGCGAACTAGACTGTACCTTCGATTAATAAAAGTTTAGGACTCATTAAGTAATCTCCCACATTTTAACCCAACCCGGTTACTAAGTTTCACCTCCGCTGCTATGTGTGACAACGGGTCTTTACAGTATTGTGGAATATGAGCTACTCACCCTTATCAACCTGGCTCCCCATAAAATTCGAGAGGTCATTTATTTGTTTATTTCATATCATTTTATTTGTATGCTGCAGCGCATCCCCCTCATCATCATATCGTCTTATATCCGCGGAAGCCCAGAAGTCCAGGGAGCAAATCTCCGTTCCATTCATTTTCTTAACAATCAGGCATAGCCAAGTCCCCTGGCACTCCACTCCCGAGTCCCCTTATTTCCGCTACGGCGAAGAACCTCGATCTGGGCTGAACCAAACACAGCGCTTTGTCAACTTTGCTGGCCTCCGTATGTAATGCAACAGAGGGCAATAACCCACGCCGTATGACGCCAGATGATTAAGATTCCGCCGCAAGGCCACACCATGCTCGTACAATGTGATTCCTTCAATTTATTTATTGCATGTGCTTTTGGCACATGAGAGAATCCAACTTTACCAACGGAAAATGCCAAAAACAAATACCTAGTACTGAGAAGAGCTTGCAATGTAATAAAAGAAAGAACAAAACAAAGAAGATCTGGGATCTGTATGAGGTAACAGAAAAGAAGAAAGATGGCAATCTCCACGCCGAAAGGCTAAACATGTCCTCATTTTCAGGTAACGCCGCAAGATGTTCTCTGAATTGAGCTGTGCTTTTAGGCAGAATGTATTTTTTAGACAATTTTGTAAATTCGGTAGCTGCTCTTGAAGCGAAGAACTTGGCCCTAATATTCGTCCTAGGTCGTGCAACAAAAAGCTTATTCTTCTCTCCTCTTGTATTGGTGTGTTGAATTGTAAAGAAGCTCTTGAAATTTAATGTCTGCTTTCGTTAGCTCCTCCTGAAACCGATACCTTACAAAGCAGAATAGCAGTTGCAGTCCAATCAAGTAACCAAATTAGGTACCACGATAGAGGGTTAGCAATTTCAGTACAAAGTAACAAGCCTAAGAGAAGTAGAAATAAGTATACGAGTGCTATCCACGATACGGGGCCATCTTCCAGAAGCCAGCCTAGGAGGGACAGGGAGGGGACAATGAAAATTGCTCACGCTCCCTGGATTCTCTCTTCTCCTCACTTGCTTAGTCTCATTAATGCAACAAAAAGGAAATGTTTTTCGTTCTCTTAAAGGACGAATTCACGATCAGAGGGAAAATCGAATTAGGAAGAATTCACCTGGTTGAGGGACCCGCGGAGCTCCTAAGTGTGCGAACTGAAGCACAATTTGCACAGGAGGAGTTGACCTCGTCCCATTATTAAACATTATACGAAGTGTTTTTGTGGCGCTTGAAACAACAATGCCCCCCTATCTTGCTATAGCGCCGGCATCTATTGATCATGTAATTATTAAATTTGAATAAAATAAAGTTCTTCCGTAATTTATCACGTGTATTATTATATGTATTATTTCCTGTCTCTTTAATCTGATATTATTTATCTATTAAATAACGTTGTTAAAGTGGGAGGCACCGCTTTACTTACAAGTGCGCTTTCGCACCACGTGCATGGTTTTGAGCACGATGTCGCGGTCTGTATTCCCAAATCAAGCCTTTCCCTTCCTCTACCTCTAGATTGTTTTGAATTCGTGGAGTCGTTGGTGAAGAAAGTAAGCACTGAGTGTGTTCATGCAGCTGGCTCTGCGGCCCAATCCCTGTCCTAGCCGCATTTTAGGTCGCCAATCACATAACTCAACGCGGAAGCGCATGCGGGGGGAAATTCTAAAAGGAGCTTTTTCGCGTCATGCTAGAGTACCTTGTATAATAGTATTGACATGAAAGCGTCGATTTCCATTAATGCCGCCGATTCCCCCGCCTGACGACGGTCCATTATTTTTATATCAAGGTTTAGAGCACTTGTCGGGCCTGTCCTAAACCGATTTGCTGCCAGACCTTTTAGAAAATTCACGATGATCTGCTCACTGCGGCAAATCTCGAGGTTGGTAGCCCTCGGGGCAACCCTGTCCGAAGTTTCTTCTCTATTTTATCATTTTTAGGGGCTTTGTGGGGAAAAGGGAAGGGCGGAGCAGTTTTTGCTTGTTTAGAATCTGTTTAGCATGACTTGCCGCTGTTGTTTTTGCGTTCTCCCATTAGCGCATAATTGCGCTGTTAGCATAGCGGCCAGCGTTCTTAACGGCTTCCGCTTCCTTCTTCCTCAAAGTCTCCCTTAACCAATGCAGTCACGGAGAACTCAAGCGTATTCGGATATCTCGGAACGGCTTCCCATTTTTTCGGTCTTTATGACGCTCGTTCACGATAGGTTATGGAAGGGGTCCAGCAGCTCCGGTGGAAACAAAAAAATCATAGCTTGGTGGAGGGAGGAGCACTAGGACCAGCTGTTGTCACTGGGTATCCGCTCCCTTGGATATTTATTTATTTATTTATTTATTTATTATTGCACTCAAGGTGCGCCTAAGACAATCGGCGTGTGTATAAATGCAAAGTTGACTGCTACAGCACAAAAACTGGAGTAAACAAACAGAGGAATTGTTATTATAAAAAAGATATCAGTGAAAGTTGCACAGTAATCTATCATGTTGGGCGCCAGTGGTGTAGTGGCAAGTGACACTGCTTACTACGCGCACGATTCGAGGATCGAACCTAGGTCGTCCGCCGTCTAAAGCAACCAGGCCTTCTATCCCTCCTGGATCGATTCAATGGATGCCAGACTTCTGTGGGAGCACGCAAACACTAACTTGTACATCGGTTGGCTAACAAAAGTTATTGTGTGGGCTAAACAGCATTCAAAATGTCGCTGCGATTCCGAAAGGATCGTATAACCGGCGCATTGCCGCAACTCCGTTTTCTTTATCGTTTTCTTTTTTTGAACACTTTGCACCGCCAAATCTTTCACCTTAGTTTGGTCGTTCCACGCTCAAACTATACTTCCCGGAGCGGTATTAAGAAAGGGAGCTTATATTTAAAAAGGGCAAGATCCATCATCGGGTGATCCATTGCGGTGGAAAAGGTGTTTCTTTGCTTGCACATATGATTTCGGGACCAGATAGCATAAAAGGATAAAGCATTCGGCGTGGCGATTTGGTCTATACAGCGGGGGTGCGCCAGGCAGCCACTGAACAATTTCATTAGTTTTTGATCCCCCCAAAAAAGATTGGTGCCTATCAATTTACCAGTCGGGAATAGAAAACTTACTCGGCTAGAATGGGAAGAATTTGATCCGAGATACTGTGGCTGCACATTAAAAAATCAGCATCGTACCAACACAGCCGCTTTGCCTCTCAGAATCAGAGAAAACACCAGTTACAAGGAATCCATTGAGGAGCCAGAGGGGAACATGCTTATAAACGAAACCAACTGGTAAATAGAGGAACTTTTCCTCGCAAATACTTCAATGACTGTTTGTTTGTCAAAGTAAATACTTGAGCCTCTTCT